AGTATAGAAATAATTATTGAAACATATATCCCATTGAACTCTTAACAACAGAAATGATCAGCAGATGATGAAGTGAAAACAGACTAATTATCCCATGTAAACATATATAGAGAGAAAGAGTAGAAACCATATTAAATTTAAAACATAGCTACAGTTACCATTTGAACTTGTCTCATATCTATGCCAGGAGTATTTCCAACATATTTGAAGAAACAAATAAATTAAATTAGACTCATAAAAAAGAAGTCCAAAAGTGACTTAAGAAAAAAAAGGCTGTTGTTTTATAATTTATAAGGTTGAATTATCATCACTTGTACATTTTGCTGCTTAATAACAGCTAACAATATCTGCCAAATGTGAATTAAAATGTATACCACTGACTAATGATATTTAGAAAATACTGCACCAGTGTATACCACTGCCCAAAGATCTGTATCATTGGAATAGTTTCAAAAGATAATTAGAAACTGTAAATATCTTGACAGTATTTTTATACAACAACAGTATTTTTTTTAAGGCTGGCTTCTATATGCCTGATCTTCTGGTTCTCCCCACAGATATATTGTATTCTTTTCTCATTCTTCATTGACTCAATTTTTGTCTATGCAAAACTGCTGGCATTTTCAAGATCTAAATCTTGTCATTTCTTCTGACCTATGCAAGATAATATTTTAAAACATTACACAAACATCTACATGGCTGCTGCTCCTTCCTACATACTCTTACATGTTTAACATTTTAACATACTCTTATCCTTTTCCTGAATATGCCTTTCACTTTTCCAATTCACAACAAACCCTTCATTACTGGTCAGTGTCCTATATCTTCTACAACTTCATCAATATTACTAGTCTTAGAAAATGAGCTCAGGGTGAATAAGAGACAGAAAAGAACCACACATAACTGAGTATTTTATACCGCAATGCTTAATATTGCAGCCACATCCACTGCTTTTTCTTAAGAGCTCTGTGGTAAAAAAAACAATAAGTATGTTTCCACAGTGACAAGTGAGGCAGTGCTCCTTCTCCTTGCTTTCTTGCATCGAAGACTGACTTTCAGGAGATGTCAACACAAAGATACTCAGCTGCTTCGGAAACCCCAGCAAAATCACAGACTGTCTCAACTCTTCGTTCTTCTCCCTCTTTACTTATACCAGTAACCTAACTTATACAATTTCAGTTACCACTTGAATGAAGTGCTCTCCATGATGTAAATCTCAGTTTTGACTTCTCAAACCCTCTCTCATTCTCAGTATTCTTCAGACATAGGGCATTTCCACTCATGAATCACATTGACAATTAACACTAATGGTGCCAAAAACTAAGTTGTGGACTGCATACTTAAACTCTCATATACAAATAAACATAAAGCATATACATAATTGCTACTTTTTTTTTTGTTTGAGACTATGCTCAAACTCACTGCCATCAAGTCAGATCTGACTCATAGCCACTCTTCCTTGGGTTTCTGAGGTGGTATCACTACTAATGTAGATTGCCCAACCTTCCTTCTGAGGAGTGGCTGGTGGGTTTGAACTGCCAGCCTTCTGGTTAGCAGTCAAATGCCTTCGGCACTATACCTCCAGGAGGGAAAGACTTTTTGTTTCATTTTGTTTTTTAATGACACTGTAATGACAGTAAAGATTTTCAGTAACACACTAATGACTCTTCCTAATATTCTTACCTTTCCTAAGACTAAGGTCATGTAGGAGATATGTATGTGAACAGGGTGTTATAAAGGCTCTTGTGTTCAGAGCATTCCATGATCATAACACTCCAGAGATTTCATACTTAGTATACCTGATTCTCAAACACTAAACCAAAACCAAACCAAATCCACTGCCATCAAGTCAATTCTTACTCACAGAGAGTCCCATTGGGTTTCCAAGGCAGTAAATGTTTATGGAAGTAGATTGCCCTGTCTTCCTTCCATGGAGTAGCTGGTTGGTTTGAACTGCAAACTCTCTGCTTAGCCATCAAATGCCTTAGGCATTGCACCACCAGTGCTCCTTCAGATTAAATTTGGAAAACCATTCAAAATATTAGCTGGCATTTTATAAGCCATATATTCAAGTGGTCTAATAAGCCTTTGACTCCACTAATTCTATGTTTTAATATAGCACAGATATGCCTAAGGCACTTGACTGCTAACCAGAATGCTGGCAGTTCAAACCCACCAGCCCCTTCTTGGAAGGAAGGCTGGGAATCTACTTCCATAGTGATACCACCTTGGAAACCCAAGGAGTGGTCGCTATGAGTCGGGTCCCACTTGATGGTACATAACAACAACAAATAACTTGCCTAGGAGTCCCTAGGTGGTGTGGATAGCTAACATGCTCAACTGCTAACCCAAAACATGGAAATGTGAGTCCACAATCCACCCAGAGGTGTCTTGGCAAAAAGGCCTGATGATGTATTCCCAAAAAGGCAGCCACTGAAATCTCTATGGAGCACATTTCTACTCTGACATACATGAGGTCCTCTTGAGTCACAGTTGACCCAAGGGCAACTGAGATTGTAGATATCTCAATATAAATTTAATCTTGCACCTTTTGGAAAATGAATGTTCCTAATCCAATTAAATGTCTTTAAAGTAGACATTATTATTACTAATCTGCATCAAACCATGTATTGAAGAAGCAGAATATAAAAATTTAATAAATATGATTCAATTCTTATTTTAAACATGGTTATATTGCTTTACAAGGAATCTTAAAGGCACAACGGTTAAGCACTTGGCTACTAAATCAAAAGATCAGAGGTTTAAACACACCAGCTGCTGCATGAAAGAAAAATTTTGGTGACTTACTTCCATAAAGATTACCACTTAGGAAAACCTATGTGGCAGTTCTACTCTGTTCTATAGAGTTGCGCTGAGCTAGAATGTACTCAATGATGCACAACGAGGAGAAAAATATTAAGAGCTTTTCCTGTTTAATTAGCAGATTTTTTTTGGTGGGGGTGTCTCTTTTTAAGTTCTACTAACAAACATATTCAGAATTTAGTGCTAGAATATAGAGATATTGTCACAAATGTGCATACTGCCATATTTTTTATAAAATAAAATTGATGGATAATGATTGTTTTTTAAAAAATGTGTTACATAAAGATTCAGGAAACAACTGATAATAATAGCTCAATTGTATTTTCAGAGAGAAGCATCCTAAATGCATCCTGGTCAGTTCCCTAGATTGGCTAAAGGTGATGTTACCACAGATAGGTTATCTAAAGGGTCTTACAAAACAAGTCTGTCCCACATTCAGCAGAAATTGAAGCATCATCAAAAAATTCTTAAGAAAGTTGTGTTTATCTATTTGCTCTGGCAAATTCAGGCATCTGGGAGCACCATGAAGCTGCTCTCTGCAAGCCACTCTGTATCAGGGTCTTGGCAGATGCCAGGGACTGGAGCCTCACCCAAAGGTCAGAGTTTCAGTACGGGTTTGAAAGTGGTAGAGTCAAACACTCTTAGTACAAATATACCAAGGAAACAGAAGGGAAGGAATGAAGGAATCCAGAGCCTGGAAGGAATAAAGGAGAGCTTTGTATGTGTAGCTGCAGCCCTGGGTCATCAGAGGGAGTTGAAGAAGTATTCGAACAGTGATTGTGAGGGCACTGGTGGAACAGACAGTGATGGATTGCCAAGTGATGAGAAGTGGAGGTTGAAAACAGGGAAGCCAAGTGACCAGAACTTCAGGAGCAAAGTAATGCAGAGAGTGAGAGTTCTTTGGCAGTAAGCATAATTCCTACAAAGAATTTGAGCTGAGGCCCATCTTGTGTAGATGCTGTATGAAACAGTGGGGCAACTATATTTGAAGTTGCCTGGATTATGGACCAGCCACTCCTTGGAAGGAAGGTTGGGCAATCCTACTTCCGTAGTGATACTGCCTCGAAAACCCAAGGAAGGGGTCGCTATGAGTCAGGGCTGACTCGACGGCAAACAACAACAACAACAACATGATAGAATAGGAAGAAGTGATATGCCTGGAATGTGAGCAGGAAAAGGCTGCTTGAACTTGAATCTGACAACAATGATCTTTAGGTCCAGTGTGTAAGAGGCCAGGGTAAATGTCAGATTGGATGGCGTTCAGCTTCCTGGACCCCTATGGATCTTCACTACTTATCCTTCTTGCTTGGGCTATCTGTATGTCAAAAAGCAGCCTGTGATGCTTGTGATGGTGTGAGTTTCTGTGAACTATGTTTGGGAGGAAATGAAAGGTTTGTCTTCTGACTTCATTTCCATCTCAATTAATGAATACTGACAATTCTGAAACTACTTAGTCAATTGTTTACCTTATGTGTAAAATATAGTAGCCAAAATAGAAAAAACAAAAACAAACAAACAAACAAAAAACAATTATTCACTCCAGAGAGAATAAATAACATTTCACTGAAAGACATTCATGGGTGAATTTGTAGTATAAAATGATTTGAGACAGAAATGAAATAAAGACTATGTGTTAAAGAATGATATGCTTTGCACTGCCTCCATATCATTCAGTTCATTGTATGAACTTGCATCAGGGAGTTCCTTCATTGCATACTAATGGGTTGCCTTAAACCTCATGATACTTTCATACAAATTCTGATAACCGCAAGAAAATAACTCCCAGAATGAGCATTTCAATAAGTCTACCATTGGAAATTTAGGTCAATTCAGTCTGACTATCCTTGTCCAAATGCAAATTAAAAATAAAAATAAACTCACTGCCATGGATTCAGACCTGACTCATAGTGACCCCTCCTTGGGTTTCCAAGGTGCTATCTGTACAGAAGTAGAACATCCAATCTTCTCTCCGAGGAGTGGCTGGTGGGTTTGAACCACCAGCCTTCTGGTTAGCAATCAAATGCCTTAGGCACTACGCCACAGTGAATATATGTATAAAATTTTGAGGTCCAGGAAGTATAGATTGAAATTTATACCTCAACTAAACTGAAAATATGTCATGCTGTTTATTGAATAGGCCATCAAGCTCACAACATTATTAAGCAAGAGTTACTTACTACAATTTTCTTCATCTGAATTATCACTGCAGTCATTTTGACTATCACACCGCCAGTGATCTGGAATACAGTTGTTGTTTTTGCACTGGAACTCATGAGGTCCACAAGTCTTTTTATCTGTAAAGGAAAGAACCAGAATTTATACTATTGGCTTCCATGAATACACTCTGCACAATATCCTGACTGCCATGCCTAATTCCTTGGAACACAACATTTCTTTAGACCTCAATTCACTTACTGACTGAATTGATTACTAGGCAACATTAAAAGCAAGTGGTGACGAAAACTCAGTTTCTGTCTTATTTTGTGTTATTATCACTCATGTTTTCAACTATAGGCTAATTGAAAAGCAAATGATTGGACCACCAAAGCAAAGTCAACACAAATAGTCAAATAAAAATGCAAATTATCCTTCCATTTAGGACACTCCCTCTCTAACCCATGCCTGCTATGAAGCAGCAAAAATAAAAGGTTATTAAAACACCTGCGAGGTGGCCACCTTGTGCTTTTTCCTAATAAGCTCTTGTTCATAATATACTTATGGTCACTTACACCTTTTAAATCCTGGTTATTTTCTGCTCAGAAACTCACTGATGCATGTACACAAAGATTGAACATGAATAAAGTACTAGCTCATTGCATCTTCCAAATAATCTGATTGAGTGCCCAGTATAGGTACTAACTACTTCTCTTTACAGATAATAAAGCAGACTAATAGAAGGTTTTTGGAACTTGTTGATGTTTTCACTGCCATTAAACGACACAGTATATTTACTGTGCTTTAGTCGCAAGTTTACAGAGTAGTTTGTTTTACATTCAACATTTCATGTACATTTGGTTTTACTCCCCAGTTACTATCCCCAACCCTGACCCAGTCTTCTCCCCTCCCTGGCCAATAAATGCCTGCCCACCCTGTGCCCTCATAGTATGCACTCTATGCACTCCTCTGTGTCCTGCATTTCCTCCGTGCAAACGTTGCCCCTCTGATGCCCTGTGGTCCATTGGTCCAAGGGATGAACTTCCATAGAATATGTGGGTGCATCACCCTGGGTTGGGTGGTCTGCTTGTACATTGTGTTTACTATTGGCTATGAGCCAACCCCTGGGAGTGAGTTTCATTCCAGGCCCAAAGCATATCCCAAGGCCACAGTATTGGGGGTCCCACAAGACTCCATCTGACCAGTAATTCTGGTCATTATTGTGTTTTTTTAATTTTGTTCCACGTTTTTCCTCCCAGTCTAACCAGGATCTCCAGTTTGATCCTTTCCCGAATAGTTGGCATTTGTAGCCTGGCACCATCTAGTTCTTCTGGTCTCAAGGTCCATCATGTCCTAAGGCTGATTGCCTCCAAATGCTCTTGGCTTTTTGCACTCTTCTTCACATCCAACTATAGGAGACTATTAGCTGCATCTTAGATGGCCATTTGAAAGCTTTTTAGACCCCAGTCATTACTCATCAATGTAGTTTGAGGAACAATATATTTTTAATATATAATTTACACCTGATTATTTTTTTCTTTTGACAACAAATCTAATTTATGAGCAGATGAGATAGAAATAGAATATATGGAATAAGAATTTATTTAAAGGTTAAATCCTTTATTTTCAAATATTCATAAGAGTAATTATCTGTTGACACTCTAAAGCAGTGCTTCTCAAACTTTAATGTGGACACATATAAATCACTCAGGAATTTTTTAATATGGAAAGAGTTTTGAAATTCTTCTTTTCTAACCAGCCCTCTTACAATAAAAATATCCTTGATATCTGAAACACATTTTGACAAAGCAAGCATCTAATGCATTGGAATGGTGTTAATTCAATAACATAAAAGTAATAGAATTATAAACCTCAATGTATAATGTAGGATACATTTCCCTCTCATAAACTTAGGTCAACTCCTTATTCTTAGCTATGTTAGAGATGAACAGTGAAGTGCTTAAAGTCTCAGACTAATAAAACAAATTAACTAAAAATGAAGATAATCTATTAGGTGGTAGTATTATGTCTTACTTCAAAATTTACCTTAAAGAATTCAGACTCAAATAAGTTTGTGAAAGTAGAAGTGATTCAGGTACAATTAAGGAAATTAAATAAGGAACATCTATTGAAGATCTGGGAGCTCCGGTGTCATAGTGCCTAAGGCATTTGACTGCTAACCAGAAGGCCAGTGGTTCAAACCTATCATTCACTCTGCAGAAGGAATGATGACAATCTATTTCTGTAGTGATACTGCCTCGAAAATCCAAGGAGTGGTAGCTATGAGTCAAGTCTGACGGAGGGAAGTGAGTTTGATTTTGTTTATTGAGGATCTAGCCCAGCTCTAGTCTAAGGATTTCATAAAAATGATCACATTCAATCACCATAACACCCATAAACCACCCTCATTGGGTTTCTGAGGCTGTAAATCTTTATGGAAGTAAACTGCCTCATCTTCCTCCCACAGAGCTGCTGGTGAATTTGAACTGCCGACCTTCTGGTTAGAAGCGCCTTACCCACAACACTACTAGAGCCCCTTTAAATATTATTACAAATATTTAAATAAAGTAGGAAAATCAATCTCAAAAGTATTAAATAATTTCTCCAATATTACAGAAATATTAACTAACAAAGGAAGGATTCAAATCCAGATCCAATTCCTGAATCATTTTGCTAGAAAAGGTCTCATTATAGATATCAAATATAATTTTAAATAGTAAGGGTGTAAAAATTGCCTCAGTTTTCCATCGATCCTTTATCTTCCTGCCTGTCTGTCCACCTGACTGACATTCAGGACCTTACCTGTCTCATTGTCTTAGGTGTTATGCTTTTTGTTCTGCAATATATCCTTCCTTGTTGTGTTATACTTAATTTTAGATCTAAAAATTGGCTTAAAATCTACAGAAGGTCTAATGTAGCATTCTGCACAACTCATATAATCAAGAAATACCCTAGAATGACTGTGATTTAAATAATGACCACAGAAAATTGAGGTTTTGTTACTGAGCTGTTTGGATAGTTATTTCATGTTGGCAATTAAAACAAACTTCTCCAAGACTATTGCAATATGTATAAATATTAGTTTTATTTACTCTTTGTCATGTGCTGTTTACATTATATTGAAATAATATTTTAAATTTTTCTAGTACAGAATATGAGAAAGATAACATTTGATCACACTAATAAACCATATGACTTAGTATTGCAACACTGGCCCCAAGCAAGTTTCATCATAGCAAAAGGTTAACAGTTGGTACTTAGTATAATTTAATAGGTATATTTAATTCAATAGGTATATTTAAAACTTTATTGTTTTAAAGTTTTTTTTTATTTTTCCAAATCCTTTTGTGTACTTTTATTCTCTATTTAAACATTTGCATCTCTCTCTGAATTTGAAAAAGATCTGCTCCTATTTCTTAACTAGAAAAAATTAGAGTTCATTGCTAAGATTACTATTTGAGGCTTAGCGAACAGTAACACACCAAAATTAATTGCCTTATGTAAGGTTATTCAGATTTTGTGTTTCCAAGTTATTTAGAGTTTTGATCCATGATATTACTTGTAAAATTATAAATACAAACTCTACAAACGTGTCTGCACTGAAAATCTCCCTAGAGGATTTTTTTTTTTTTTTTAGTTATTGTTTGTTTGTTTTAAAATAGAAGAAATTTTATAAGAAAGGTGTATTAAAAATGCCCATCTCAATTCGACTACATATTAAAATCACTTAGTAACTTTTATTAATCTCTTGGCCCAGATCATATCTCACAACAATAAAATCAGACTCTCTAGGTGTGGGATCCAGGCATAAATGTTTATTAACACTAGCATGGTATTTCCAAAGAGTGCTTAAGGTTGAGTATCATTGGCCCATAAATTGATTGTAGGACATAATATATATAATTTCACATTTCAGTAGTCCAGAGTAACCAATATAAAATGTTTGCAATGTGTAGAGTTTCATATTAATTGAAATTGCTGGATTGTGTTGATACAATTCATTATTCAACTTTTTTGTTATTGTAAATTTGGAGAAACCAAATTAAGTATTTGAAAACTTTATTTCTATCTGACAAGGGATTTATCTCCAAAACATAGAAAACTTCAACACCTCAATACCAAAAAGACAACCCAGTTCAAAAATGGGCAAGGGACATGAACAGACACTTCACTAAAGAAGATATACTGACAGCCAACAAACACATGACGAAATGCTCATGATCATTAGCCATTAGAGAGATGCTAATCAAAACAACAATGAGATACCATCTAATCCCAGCAGTAATAGTAAAGTTCAACAAGACAGAAAATAACATATGCTGGTGAGGTTGCTGAGAGATTGGACTCATACACTGCTAGTGAGATTGTAAAATGGTCTAACAATTGTGGAAAATGGTATGGAATTTCCTTAGAAAACTGAAAATAGAAATATTATTTGATCTAGCTATTCCATTACTAGGAATATATCTCAAAAAGGTGAAAGGACACAAACAGACATATGCACACCCATGTTCATCACAGCACAATTCACTACAACAAAAAAGATGGATACAGCCTAAATGCCCATCAGCAGATGAATGGATAACCAACCTATGGTATAATCACACAATGGAATACTATGCTACATTAAAGAATAAAGAAGAATATGTGAATCATCTCACAATATGGATGGATCTGGAGGACATTATGCTGAGTGAAATAAGCGAATTGGAAAAGGACAAACATTGTATGAGCCCATTATTGTAAAAAGTCAAAGAAAGGTTTACTCAGGGAAAGAAATTCACTATTGGTTAATGGGAATAGGAGGGAAATAGAGGGAAAATTTTGGAGTAGTTGAGGGTTACATGTTGATTTGGATGAGGGGAGGGACAGTCTGGAAAGAGTCTGTGACCAATGTGAAGATACTGGGGAAGGGAAGGGCTCTGAAATGTGCACATGAGATAAAGACAACAGAGTCAAATAGTAGTACATGCACAATACTGCATTACCACTAACACTAAACACCAGGCTACACATAAATGCATGGACAGGTGACAAGATCAGGTGGGGACAGGCAAACAGGAGTATACTCCAGACCAAGGATAGATTTTGCTGAAGATAATCTTACATATGCACTTGTGCTATAAAATTAACCACATAA